AATGGGAGATGTCCTTCTGTTTAATCGAGTAAGAACTGACTGGTGGTGATACTATTGAGCCTTATTGTAAAACAAAACTCATTGAAGAGATTAGGCTGGGAATTCTCTCCTCTTTCTCTCCCCTCCTCATCCTCCTCCAAATATAGCAGCTACAAAAGTTTTTTTTTTTTACATTTATATAGAACCACTCTCTGCTGAATTACACCCCTCCAGCAGCAGCCTTATGAAAGAAGGTCTCAGTATTTAATTTTNACCCCTAGGCTAGGAGAACAAAGAGAAGATACTGGACTGATTAAAATTTAGATGCTCAGAGGAGGTGCCCAGTGGCCTGGGACCCAGACCTGGCCCCTGGCCAGAACTGGAAGTTACCCATGTATCTGGGACCCAAACCTTTGGGAAGGGAGAACCAGATGGCTGGTGTCTGTGAAATGGGATATAATGAGGCTGATTCTGCAAGTGTTGGAATCACCACAAACTGGATTTTTCTGGTTCTGTTGAAGGAATCTGCTGCTAGTAGGATGAACAAGAGAGGCTGAGATGAGGTTGTCATGAACAGCAAGCAAACAGAAATGCACATATCCCTTCTTCATCTTCTAGCCTCCCTGTCTGTGCCTGTCTCTCTCTCTCTCTCTCTCTCTCTCACCCCTTATTGGCAGTTCCTAATAGGCTGGCAATTAACAAAGGAAAAATGTGGTCTCCAGAGTTCAAGTCACAGAGCAGCTCATGGAAGGGGGAGCTTGAAGCCAAGAGACAAAGTTCAATAACAAACCCCCCAAAATACACAAGATGGTTCTTTTAATTCCAGGGAAGACAAAAAAGTCTTCAATAAAGGTTTAAGTAATTAGAGTATATCTCCAGACTCAGCAAAGAATAGCTTTTATGTTATCACTGTAGTGCAAACACTGAAGATGTATTGAACCAAAATTTCAACCTGACTATACTGGCCAGATGGAGGGAACAGGACGTGTTGGGGGCGGGGGCAGGGAAATGGCTAAATGTGCTCTTTTGTGTCTGGAAGTCAATAAAGAGTACTCAAAAAAAAAAAAAGAAGAAGAAGCAGTGCAAGTTGGCCACTTAGAGATGTGGAGGTAGATAGAAAAGAACCCGCAGGGAGAGTTGGAAGTGGTACCTCAGGGAAGCGGGAATGGTAGGGGAGATTGGGAGTTACTGTCTTTTTGAAATAATCCTTTTTGGGCACCACAGTCAACGCAAGTACTTCTGACAGCCTCTGCCTTTTTCCTCCTCTCCCTGGCTGCTGCAGAATGGTGGTGACAGCTGGCAGAACAGGGCCGCCCCTAGCCATTCACACTGAGACCTTGCTCCTGAGCAAAAGGAACACAGAACATCAGTGGCCTAGAGGTGATGCTTCCTTGAGGAAATCATGTTTATCCAGAGACAGTTTGTAGGGTTGATCAGAACACCACACAAGCAAAGAAGGCCTGGAGTCACAGATGTGGGAGAGAGTTTTCAGCAAGGGCAGCTTTCCAGGTCATTGCGAGAGTGGCATGAGCCTTGTCACACTCTGACCCCGCCTGCATAAAGGCTGACAGCCTACCATTCACCTTCACATGCGGCAGAGCAAAGCCAGACTCACTATGTGTCCAAGGATGGTTTATCTGTCAGCACCTGGGGAAGATAAGGCAGTGATTAATGAGATGCTGGGTCTGGTCTGGGAGTAAATGGTGAGCCTGAGCTACTAGCTTAGAGCCTCCCTTCAGAGACTCATTAAATATTAGTTCACAAGGACTGAGAGGAGAGATGCCCTCTTTCTTTACAAGTAATAGAGTATCCACTCCAATTAGCACAGACTTAGGGCTGGAAAGAGACCTCTGGCCATTTGAACATGCCCAACTTCTGAGCATAAAGAATCAACCCTCCCTCCCCCCAGCAGGGTGCACACGTATAGGACCCCCACCCACAAGCAGGGACTCTCTAGTCACTCACACATGTGTCCATTACAAAGCCTCCCTCGTACTCCTCAGGGCCTGCCTGACTTTCAGCCCTTCCTCCCACATGATGACGCCAATGCCCATCACTGGAACCCTACTGTTCCCTGTCTCTACAGCAGCTGGTGAAAAACACAAAACAGGCCCCAGGTAATGCTGCAAAACCTAGCCATCTGAAGCATCTTTGCCCCCTGGATGTGACAAAGAACTAAAGGCCAAGGCAGTGACCTAGAGGAAAAAAATCACAAGTGCTGTTTGCTTTTATGCCGCACCTTAAGTTACCCATTGCAGTACTCTTAGAAGGTGCCGAGAGCCTGAAAGAGTTAATGCTTCTCTAAATATAATAATGCTTCTCACCCTTCACACTTGCCCTTTAGCAGAGTGCAGCCCAGGAGGTCTGCTCCAGGCCAGGGCTGGGCTACTCACTTCCTCTGTGGTTGATGAGAGCTCACACTTTTCTTTTTCAGATTATGATGTTTGTGCCGAGGCTCCTTGTGAACAGCAGTGCACAGATAACTTCGGCCGAGTGCTGTGTACTTGTTATCCAGGATACCGATATGACCGGGAGAGACACCGGAAGCGGGAGAAGCCGTACTGTCTGGGTGTGTTGGGAATACACGTTATTTTCCAGCTCCTAATGATACACCTTGATCAGACGGTTTGGTCCTTTGTTGGACCTTCTTCGTCAGCAGGACAGGCTCAGAGGAGCTATTCTGAGCTTTGATTCCTCCCCTTAAGTCATCGTGCTTGTTAGATGGATGGTGTTTGGTATTATCCTAGAGATCGGTCACTGCCTTTCATCATGATGATTAAAAGGGAATTCATCAGAGAACTAGCACCAGTCAATCCTAATGGGCAGTGAGATATAAGAGCGGGAGAAGGGAAACAAAAGTAAACTAGAATAATGTAAATAAAACAGTATAAGTGGTCAGAAAAGTAGAACTCAGAATGAAGCAAGAATAAGTTCTGTCGACTTATTCCTGGGAAGGAAGGAAGTGTCCCTATGGCAGGCAGGTTAGAAGTGAGTCCCAGGGAGCCAGAAGCAGCCACCTGGGCTGCAGCAGAGCACAGGCAGCACCATCTGTGGCCACAGCTCGTTCCCTTCGTCCTCCTTGACTGGTCTTTCCCAGCACTGCACTCCTTGAATTTCTGAGGCAGGTTCATGGCTAACTGTCCCCTGGCACTAACAGGTGATAACCTGTTTCAGAGACATCTGGGATCCTTGCTTTAAAAAATAAAGAAAAGATCCTGGCCTCCCCTCCAGACTGAATGAGTCACAACTCTGTGGGTCTGGAGACGTGCATTTACAGGAGTGCCTCTAATGACTCATATGCATGGCAAGCTTTGAGTCAGCTGGAGGATGAACTGAGGGGACTGGCAGATAGGTTCATGCAGAAATAAACTAGCTGTGATGGGCAGCCCCTCCTTCTCTGACCCAGCGGGGGCTCTAGGGAGCCCCCTTTAAGAGAAATTCTGACTAGTTCCCCCCATTTGGGAGTGGCACCCGGTACTGACAAATGGAATTGGGACCGTGGCCTCTCCTACAGGGAGCATGGGCTGTTTCATATGGCCCTGGTCCCAGGCACAAGGGCTCTTATTTCAGTTTGCAGCAGCTACTGTACCCTGTTTTCATTTGTGGGTAGGTAGAACTTGCATTCTACTGAGAGTTTCATCTATTGCCGTCTCTCCTTTCAGCCGTGTCCAGAGAGAGCTCTGGGCAGTACAGGCAGATTCGTGCTTGGGTTTAGGGCAGGAACACCTGTAAAGAGGTGGTCAGCCTGGGGAATTACAGAGGATGATCCAGCTGTGACCTCCCATCTACAGATGACATAGAGTGTACTGCCAGGGCAATGAATGAATGACCACACTCCCCTCAGCACACACGGCCTGCTGGAGCCGGGGCCTTGGCAGCTTGTCCAGGGAGTGGCTGGGAAGTTGTCAACATCCTAAAGTTCAGGCTGGGCTCTGTCTGCCCGCCACATGTGCACAGTCTGGGCTGTATGGCATGGTTCCCACCCCTGCCAGCTGGTGTCTTCAGCCAGCAAACAGGAAATGGAGTGGGCCTCCCTCTCTTGCCATGGTGGGAAACACTTTTGTTTCCACCCCGTGCAGCAGGGGAGCATGTCCAAGATGTGCACAGTTAACACGGACTCCCAGTGGCTACTTGTTTGATGGTCTCACGGCTCATTTCTGCAGCCCATGGGGATCCGTTTGGGCCACTGATGAGATAGAAATGTCCTGGGGGGAACTCAGTCCTTTAGACTCATTATGAGTGTTTTGTTTTTTCAGAAGCAGCTTTTCCCAGTTACCCCTGTGTCCCCTAACTGGGAAGGAGCCATTCCTAAGTGACCTTTGGGTCACCATCATACTGTTCACAACCTATAGCCATAAAGGGGAACATAAATCCCTCAGCACACTAGGTACTTGCAAAAATCATTTATTTAATTATTGCCGTGGGTTATCTCATTTTCTCTTCTAAAGAGCTCTGTGAGGTATTTAGGGTAGTCTTCATTATTGTTTTCTGGATCCTCCTCTGTAACTCCCCAGGCTGACCACCTCTCTCCAGGTGTTCCTGCCCTAAACTCAAGCACGAATCAGCCTGTACGGCTGAAAGGAGAGACGGCAATAGATGAAACTCTCAGTAGAATGCAAGTAGGTGAGATATCTGAAGGCTAGCAATGCCTGTACCACGCCACGTGAACTTGGAGTGGTGGAGCCACAGCCAGGAGCCCCATCACTGATCATTCTGTAACCATGGTGACATAGCTGGCAGTGCTGCTTCCAGGGACAGCCCGTGTTTCTAGCTTCCTACTTTGCTCCAGACTTCTCTGATCAAGGTCTAGCAAAGTATCCTTTGCAGACACTAGCAAAGGGGCTAACCCCAGCGTCATCTGTTGTGTTGAAAGTGAATTCTCTGAAACTGAGTATTTTTTGCATTTGGTTTGAACCAGATATTGACGAGTGTGCCCCCAGCAACCAGACACTGTGTGCACACATCTGCATCAACACTGTCGGCAGCTAGCCATAAAGGGGAACATAAATCCCTCAGCACACTAGGTACTTGCAAAAATCATTTATTTAATGTTTGCTTCTCAAAGTGTATTGCCGTGGGTTATCTCATTTTCTCTTCTAAAGAGCTCTGTGAGGTATTTAGGGTAGGCTTCATTATTGTTTTCTGGATCCTCCTCTGTAACTCCCCAGGCTGACCACCTCTCTCCGGGTGTTCCTGCCCTAAACTCAAGCACGAATCAGCCTGTACGGCTGAAAGGAGAGACGGCAATAGATGAAACTCTCAGTAGAATGCAAGTAGGTGAGATATCTGAAGGCTAGCAATGCCTGTACCACGCCACGTGAACTTGGAGTGGTGGAGCCACAGCCAGGAGCCCCATCACTGATCATTCTGTAACCATGGTGACATAGCTGGCAGTGCTGCTTCCAGGGACAGCCCGTGTTTCTAGCTTCCTACTTTGCTCCAGACTTCTCTGATCGAGGTCTAGCAAAGTATCCTTTGCAGACACTAGCAAAGGGGCTAACCCCAGCGTCATCTGTTGTGTTGAAAGTGAATTCTCTGAAACTAAGTATTTTTTGCATTTGGTTTGAACCAGATATTGACGAATGTGCCCCCAGCAACCAGACACTGTGTGCACACATCTGCATCAACACTGTCGGCAGCTACCGCTGTGAGTGTCGCGAGGGCTACATCCTGGAGGATGATGGCAGGACATGCACCCAGGGAGACAAATACCCCAATGACACTGGTGAGTAGGGCAAGTATAATTATGCTCCTTATTATATCTATTTTTATATTATATATATTAGTTTGGGGCTTATACATAGATATATCTATTTAACATATACTTATGTGATTATATATTATAACAGAAATATAATAATGCATATTATAAAATACATATTACATGTACTATATATTATAAATTATATAATAAGGTTCCCAAGTACCTATATATTATNATGCTTGTATTTTAGGTCTTATTTTTTCTAGCAGCTCATTTTGGTATTTTGTAAAAGTATCAGTCGACAGTGAATTGGAACATTTCTAAAAGCTGGTCCTTCAGCACAGCATTGAGAAGCTGATTTACACGGTGTCAACCAGATTCAGCTGAGATGTCTGGTCACTCCGGCATGTGATCAGCCTAAATGTTGGGTTACTTCCTTATTTGAGTGTGGAGGAAAAATGAAAGAAGAATGAGGGGGAAGGAGAAGGGGAAAGGGAGATCTCCAAAACTGATGTTGATGCCTCAGGCAATGCCTCGAAGAGCAAAATATCACCACACTCACTGGTGAAGCAACTCTAATTTCTCTGCCAAGTTACAAGTGCCTACCTAGTCATTAAAATTTAGGATTTCAGCCTATACAGGCCAATGTCAAGGGCCTTCCAGGCAGGGTGAACTTCACAGCAAAATGTACTCCACTGACAATGGTTGGCACGGTGAGTTCCCCAGAGAGAAAGTCCTCGGCCACGTTGCGGACCTCAGGCAGGTCACACAATGGCCGTGGGTCCTGCACCCACCACTTGTAGGCCAGGAAGCTGCTCCCGTCTTTTGGAGCTCAGAGCCCAGCTCTTCTCCTTCCCTAAGGAGGGGGAGGTGGCTGGAACACCATCAGGAGGGGTTAACAGAGCTCAGGCTATCCGTGAGCGGGGAGCAGGTTCCTAGGTTAAATTACATACATCAAGAAATGCAGGGAGATGAAAAAGCTAGAACTGTCGGGGCACTTGAGAGATGTTGATTTCTGCATGTGGCCCAAGCTCCAGGAAGAGGTCGGAAGGGGCTGCCATCAGCTGAAGACACCAAACAGCTGGGGACCAGCTGCCTCACACAGAAAAAGTACAAAGCGAAATTCTGAGGAGCAACTGGGTTGAGTCATGAGGACGCCGCCGTATGTCATTAGCAGCAAACTAACTATTTGCAGCCAGCTCGGGAGTGGGCCATTTGGGATCATATGAATGAGTTAGACAGCTTGGGGACACATTTGAAAGGCTGAAGCATGAGGAGCCCACCCACATGCCACCCAGAGGTGTTCATAAAGCAGGGGCAAACAGTTTTTGCCATAAGGGTTAATTGAGAAAAAATATTTACACACCTCTTTTAATTCAAAATTAAAGCTACTGCATTTTGTCCTGTGATGGAAAAGGTGGGAAAGGGCAGGAATGTGTAACTTAGATTATGTCCTTTACTGAAAGGAAGAAACTCTTTGATAAATGGGGTACAGCTTTTTAGTCCCTATCTGTTCATGTGTGGACCTACGTGAGAATTATTCACAAGAAAGTAGCCTGCTAGTTTTTCATGTTGGTATTGATTTCCAGCTGTGCTCTGAGCCAGGTAGCCCCTGCTCTGGGCTACCTAACCTGGCAAGTGCATTGGCTCTTTGCCTCACACTTATGTACAGGTGGAATCCCGTTTACATGGGCTTAGTAGGCAGCCTTGAGCAGCCCAATCCAGAGCATAACCATCAGGAGCAGCAGCAACAGACACATACTGCTGAGTATCAGTGGGGCAGGATTCTACATTAGGAATGTAGACATAATAGGACCAGCCCCACACATGAGGAGTTCCTGCCTGGTGGGGGAGAGTGGTCTGCAAGAAGACTGACCATAACCAGCAGGGACCCTAGAAACCAGGTGGAATTTCCACGGACTAGAGTAAGAGTTTACACGCTGAGTTTACTTGTTCTTTGGACTCAGGTGGCCTCCACCTCTTGCAGTAATTAATTCCTGTGTGTCCCAACCATATTCCTTTTCAGTCCCCAAGGCAGTAAGATCCATAGTCACCCAGCTGTGGGGTCCCCTAGGGATGGCTCTGAGTCAGAGTGCAGTGACAGGTCTGCACTGGGGAGAGGCACTTACCCGTGGACATGCAAAGGCTGGGTGAGACAGGGAGGTCTCACTGTCTTTGGAATTAGCAGTCTCTAGTGCTAAGTCAGTACTGGGACCACACTCACCTGTTTCCTTTCCTGAGGAGTATCTTAAAATTTTTCAAAGTTTCAGGCAAGTACAAGAGATCAAGAATCTTGTGTAGGTGATGGCCAGTTGACCGCTATGTCTGAGACGTCAGTAAAAAATCTGAGTGATCATATTAGAAGGGATATATACTCATTGTAAAGCTACATGACTACACCAGTTAGTTGTCCGGTTACGCAAATCATAACTAAAGCCAAAGTGTTTCGTTATTTTAGTTATAATAAGTTATACTAAGTTTAGTACACTAAGTTATACAATAGCTAATTATACTAAGCTTTAGTATACTAAGTTAGTTTAGTTTCCATTTGTATTATCAGGGCTAGGGCTGAAACCCTTCAAATGCATTGTACAGACTGGGTCACCAGACCCCTCACGTACCTGGCTGGGTCACCAGACCCCTGACATGCAGGTCCTCCCTAGGTAATTGGGAAAGATCCCGGGAGCAGTTGGCAGACACAAGATCAGTCCTCAGCAGTAGCAGCTTACAGGTCCAGCTGCTTACAGGTCCAGTGGTGGCGGCAGCCTCACAGAGGGTCCTGGGGGCCCTGGCAGCAACAGTCTCTAGCAGCAGAAGTGGCCTCCCCATGGCCCCCCCGCAGGCATCCCGGGGGTAGGGGGCGCTGTGGATCAGAGCCACTTGTCCTTTATACTTAAGTCATACTCCAGGACACCTGGGTGCCCATGCGCAATTACATTAGACAGTAACCAAGGAGCACCTGAGCACACGTGCATATTTACATCAAATGCTTGGCGAGATTCTGAACATCCGAGGGGCCCTGACCATTTTCCTATATTTTCCCTACACTCTTATTTGAAACATTTTTTGTATCTTATCTGATATTACATTTAAGGATGTATTTTATTTCAACCATTTCTTATAGCATTTCCCCACATTCTGTTCTGCAGAACTTTGGGGTCCCATGAGGTGTTAATAAGCATTTCTAAAGGTCCTGTGTAAAGCTACACAAATAGCTACACGACTACACCAGTTGTCAGATCGAGGCAATAACTACGCCAATTGTATGGCTAGGCATTTCATAACTAAAGTCAAAACGTTTTATTATTTTAGTTATACTGTTTCCATTTGTATTGTCAGGGCAAGGGCTCAGACCCTTCAAACCCATTGTACAGACTGGGTCACCAGACGCCTCACACGCAGGTCCACGCTACGTAATTGGGAAAGATCCCAGGAGCCGTTGGCAGACAACAGCTCAGTCTTCAGCAGTAACAGCAGCAGAAGCGGTGGTGGCCTCTCAGGGGGCCCCCGGGGCCCTGGCAGCAGCAGCATCCAGCAGCAGTAGCGGCCAGTCTGGGAGCATCCCGGGGGTGGGGGGCCCTGTGGATCAGAGCTGCTCGTCCTTCATACTTAAGTCCATAACCCAGGACACCTGGGTGCACATGCGCAATTACATTAGTCAATAGCCAAGAAACACCTGGGCGCACGTGCCTGTTTACATCAAATGCTCTGCAAGATTCTGAACATCTGGGAGGCCCTGACCATTTTCCTATATTTTCCCAATATCCTGTTTTCAGATGTTTGGGCAAGTGTATATTACTGCACCCACTTCT